TTTCTTGTCATTTTCATTATCTTTAAAGGCTCATGTTGAGAAACCAGTTATAGAAAGGAAGGGAATAAGTTGTTCTTGTGACATCTTGCAGCAAAGCTGTTCCACTTGGTTCCCTTTTCCACCAGTGTAAGGATGCGATGTCCTGCCTGCCAGCAGTGGTTATGCAAAGGCAGGAATGAGGTACACTGGCACTGGAAGGGGACTGGAGCAGCTTGCTGAAAACACACGTTTGCCCATCTGCTTCTAGCCAGCGCAGTATCTGCTGTTGCAAAGGCTGGAATACAAATGTGTTCAGAGAAAAAGACACCTAAATATCTGCAGTGTTCCACCTCCGTTTGAGCCTCTGCTTATCACATGGATTCTCTTTAGAATTGATGAAGGAAGCTTCTAGGATACCAGGTCATTGTGTTTATTTTAGACCTTTACCTTAAGGTGAGGTGAAGAGCATCTTGGAAGTCCTGGTCTCTGCTCTCTATAGAGACACCCTAGACAAATGACTTGGAGATTAGGACTCATGAGTCCCATCTCTGGTACTGAACTGCCTTTGACCGAGACTTGCCAAACTTCACATCCAGTTAGCTGGTCAAGAGCATGTCCTCCTCAGCCATGTCTTTGGTTTTGAAGGCAAGGTGGTTCTCTTGTGCTTCTTAGAGGTGGCTGATGGTGGTGGGTCAGTGCCAGGACATGTCCATTAGTCCCTCTGAGAGCATTCGGGTGCTGTCCTGTGTATTTCTTCACAGTTTGCCTTCTAATGATATCTTTTTTTTTTTTTTTCTCTCATTTAATTTCTACAGGCGAGTTTATACCGAGGTGGCTACAGCCGATTTGCCCCCTACTGAAGTGACGTGAGCCCCCTGCAAGTGGGACAGCCCCCCCAGTTCATGAGGCCTGGCTATTGCAATATTTACTAGTAGAGGAACTCTATAGCAAGACGAGGAGGAAAAACAAAAAACAAAAGAGAAAATACTTTTTTATACCTCACTATGTTCTTTGAATATGTATTTTTTTTCCTTTAAATTTCTGCCTTTAATTCTTTTGTTCCAAAGATTGTGCATTTTTTTGTTTTTTGTTTTCATTTTGGGGTTTTTTTTAAACTGTGGTAAATAATGCATTTCCGTGTCTGTATGTTGGTGCATAGCTTATCCTACCAATCACGGAAAAAGCGATTAGTGATAAGGAAAGCTGTTAGAAACTGGTATCATGCAATTAATCAGGAACACGCAGACAGAGTTACTTCCCTGGGTCTAATGCTTGGTGCCTGTGAGACAGGAGGATGTGAGGGAGAGGTCTCCACCTGCCATGTTTCTGGTCTGCAGAAGGAAGCACTCTCGGCTGTGGCTGGGACTTAAGTGCTGGTGGGAAATAGTCATTTGGAAGTGGGGGAAATGCAGAGACTTTGCTCATTTTTATCACCATCTGACACGCACAGGTTTGGGACAGTTTCAACAGTGTCAGGATTTTAGACTTGGCAAGAGAAGATTTCCTCAACCTGCCCAGAGACTGGCTGTTACCTGCTGTATAAGGGACAAGACTTTGGAAGGAGTTGTTGATGAGGATTATCTTTCCCTCACACACGCAACTTACTCTAGCTGATTGTTGTCCCTTGCTGGTGGCTGTAATTATCTTAGTTTTTCTTCCTCCTTTTCAAGATCTTTCTCCCTTGCTGTCCCTTTCCTCCCATTTCCTCGAGGAGTGTCAGATGCAATGCAGCACCAGAGTACCTCTGTTGGTTGCAGATAGCAAGCGATTACATTTGCAGAGGTGAATGGTGTACAGCCTTGCAGAGGAAGAAAGCAAGCTAGAGGAAGAACTGTGCATCAGTGCCCTGCTTGGGTGCTCCGAGGTCCGGTGTGCAAGGTCTCTCCTGTTCATCCTTAGCTGCTTCTGCAAGTAATCCGTTTCAAATAACGTAAGTGAGGAAAAACAAGTCATGTATAAGCTGCTGAGGCAGGGGGCAAGCATGTAGGTTTGTGTGGTGGAAGAGGGTCTTTTATATCTAAACATGATCCTGAAGTAGTTTTGTTTCTATCAGGAGTTTAAGGGGAGGCAGAAGCAGTTTGTTCAAGCTCTGAATTCATAGGAACTTCCCACCGCAATCTATTTCAGACCCTTACATAGTTGTGTTGCAGCCCCTGGGTCTGTTTTGCCTAACCTCTCAAAAAGTTGTGCACCTGCAGGGTCTGCTGAGTCCATATTGACACTACATTTTAGAAGATTTGGAAGCAGATAGGTGACTTAGAGGAGAGCTCCACGACTCTAAAGACCATCTCCCTTCTCTCACGTACAGTGATTTTGCTGTGTTTCAAAGTCAGCATTTTTAGATTTAGTCAGCAGTTTAGCTCATTTAGTGTGAGCTGTGCTGTGATGGGAAGTTGCTGCTCTCCAGACCTCCCTGCTCAGCTGCTGGCTCCTAGAGTGCTCCCAGTCACCCCAGTACTCAGAGGCAGGGTCTCTAACCATGTTAGAGAAAGGCAGAAGTTCAGTTTCATTAGGCTGCCTCGACTCCCTTGTTTGGTACTGGGGTGAGCTCACTGACCCTAGAAGGGCTACTTGGAGTGTGGGTCTGTTGGTGGAGCCTCTCTAGCTCCTGTTGTCAACCTGCTTCTCCATCCACTGCTGATACCAGAATAGGAAACCTCCTGCATTTAACACTAAGCAATGTCAACAAGCAGAGCTCCCAGGGAGGTGTCCTGGCCCAGCCATGCACAACCATACATTTTTTTTGCTCTGCCCCAGCGATAGACATAGCTTCTCTGTGTGCAGCAGAGAGGAGGCACCTCAGATGGGAAGAATGAGGAAGCCATTAGTTAAGCTAGAGACCCTGAAGCTATTGATTCTCTGGAGAAATAGCTAGATAAAGGGGGACACCAAACTGCCAGCCTGTTGGCCACCTTTTGGGTTTTTCCTGGTTTTATTGTTGGTTTTTAACTTTTTTTTTTTCCCGAGCCAAAGTTTGGTTTGTTGCTGTTATGACAATTTTTTTTTTTGTTTATAATATAAATATTTTAGTTACTGGCCCAGCCATGCACAACCATACATTTTTTTTGCTCTGCCCCAGCGATAGACATAGCTTCTCTGTGTGCAGCAGAGAGGAGGCACCTCAGATGGGAAGAATGAGGAAGCCATTAGTTAAGCTAGAGACCCTGAAGCTATTGATTCTCTGGAGAAATAGCTAGATAAAGGGGGACACCAAACTGCCAGCCTGTTGGCCACCTTTTGGGTTTTTCCTGGTTTTATTGTTGGTTTTTAACTTTTTTTTTTCCCGAGCCAAAGTTTGGTTTGTTGCTGTTATGACAATTTTTTTTGTTGTTTATATATAAATATTTTAGTTAGTTTGAAAATGGGGAGGGGGGGAACGGGATATTGGGGCTTTCACAAAATCTAGGAAATGAGGGGGGACTCGGGACATATGGGGGCTTTTAATGTCTGAGTTGGGGTAGGGGAGGGAGGACTTGTGGTAGAAATAGTCATATTCAAGGGGAGCCATTTCCACCACAGGGCAGCCAGAGGGCTTCTGGAGCTGAGCAAAAGCCTCTATTGGACTTGTTCTACCCTTCTGTGGGATGGAGAGGCTGAGTGAGGCTGTCCCTTCCCTTGCACGCAGGCAGTTCCTCATGCAGCCGATCTGCAGGCTGCAAGTGAGAGAAGAGCAGCTTGCAGAACCCCGTGGGGGCAGCTGCTTGCCCCTCTGCCCCTTCTCTGCATTTCAGTTCAGCTGGCTCTGACTGCAGCTCCCAAAAAGCGGGGCCCTCCCCTGCCCTGGCAGTGCCGCCTGCAGTCCCCTCCCGCCACCTGGCCTCTCTGGGAGTAGGGAGGCCGGCCCCGTTTCTGCCTCCGAGCAGAGTCTATGCATGGCAGCTTCAGCCCACCCGTGTATGTGAGGGATTTAGTGCAGAAGCGCCCAACCTTTGCAGGGCTGTGGTCTCCTGCCGTGTGAAATATCTGCTCCAGACCATCCAGCCTGATTCCTCCTGTATCTGAGCCCGGTCTGCTCCTGTTGCTTCCTGCCAGACTCCTCCAGTGCATTGACCAGCTGGTGTCTCCTTGACTCTGTAGTTAATGCTGTGAGATCCCTGCTGAGGCAGCTCACTGATAGCCCAGCTTCCCGCTCGCAGCAGTGAGCTGCAGAGGGGGTGCGAGGATGCTTGCAGGGCTGCGGGGAGCTCGCTGATTCCAGGTCTCTGGAGCACCAGACCTCCCAGAACCTTGCACGCCAGCTGGAATTGTGCAGCAAGGTTTCTCGAGTGAGTGTTGTGCCATGGTGGGAGAGCTCTTCAGCCTTTCTTCCCTCTTGGCACACGGCAGCTCTGGTTTCGCTCAGATGTGTTATGAACTGACTTGAGATGCATTCAGAGTAGCCAAGCCATGGCTATATCCATCTTCTGAAGAAGTGAGGACAAAGCCTATATCTCCCTATGCAAAATGAATTACACTTAATAAATTAAACTAGGCCCTGGGTTATTTGACTGACGGCAGCTAGTGCTTGTCCCCAAGATGGGTCTGCAGTCACAGGTCCCTTGCAAAGCAGGGCGTGGCTTTCCGAGGGAAACTGCACAGGCAGCCTGGCAAATAGCTTGCTGTTTGTCACCTGCTAATCTGGTGGCATCCAGGATTCCTCTTGATGTAGAGGAAAATACATTTCTTTAAGTGTTGCTGTTTGTACTGTCTTGCAATAGGTCTGGCCAGCATATGATATTACACTGATAAAATTTTGGATTGAAGAGTTGATTTATTTAATGTGCTGGTTCGTCTTTTCTTGTGGATACAGTTGTGCTGGTACAAAGATGACTTCTACTGGTATAGCATGTTCTTTACTGAGAATAAGTTATACTGATGACCAGCATGTTATCAGAATTGTGACTTCCCGTGCTAGGGAGGCTGCACTGTTGTAGGTGGGCTGGCTCTTCTAGGAAAAGCCATGATGGGACCTGGAGGCAACAGGGAGGTCAGCATGAGCCTGCTATAGCCAGCTATTCCCAGGTTAAGCAGTGATGTGGATCCTGTGTCATGAGTTCCTATAGACAGAGCCATGTTTTAAATTAGCTGTGGCTTGGCTGTTTCCAGTGCCCGAGAGAGAGCACTAGCTCAGGAGTCAGAGGCCTGTGTTTTGCTCAGGGCTCTGTCAGTGATCCTCAGGGGTCATTGTGGAGCAGTCGTGTCTCTGGTTTAGACTTCGCTTCCCCGTCCCTAAAGTGAAGTGAAAGTTTATCCCCTGTTTTCATCCATTTTGAGATCTGTGGATGTGAAGTGCACAGCAAGAGCTGAGGAGGGTTATCTGAATGGCTGGCTCGAGTGCTAGTTGTGAAACGGTTAATGAAACTATTTCCTTGCCCAAAGAGAGACACTGGCTGCTGGGGTTTCAATTCCAGCACCCAGAGCTTCGGCAGCAGGGAATACAAAGCAGAGCATCGAAGCTGCTACCCACGTTTTTCCCCAACCTGTCCCTATCTGTATCTTCCCATCCTGGCCCCAAAGAAGGAGGCACGTGGAGAACAGGTTTGGGGAGCACTTAGGAATTCTATAAAGGGAAAACCAAACAACAGCTCTGGGGAGCGCTTTTGCTGAGTCTAGCTCCAAAGGGAAAGCGTGCAGGCAGCGTGGCAAGATGGCCTGGCTGCCTGTGGCCCTCAGCCTGGCAGGGTCAGGGGGGTGCTGGCCTTGGTGCAGAGGGGTGATTTTTAAAGTGTGTTACCTGTTTGCACTGTTTTAATATAGGAGCGGGGGGTGGGGAAACTAACCTAGTGAACAAGATGAACATCCAGTGTAAACTTCTTTGTGTTTTTATTTTGTCATGCTTTTGGAAAATGTCAAACTTTTTGTAGTATACACCAGTGAGACTTGATTCTTTGTTGCATAAAACACTATTTTTTGTGATGTTAATGTCTGAAAAGCCCCTTCCCTCCACCCCACCTTATGATTGCCCTCTGTGCCCTCCAACCTCAGTAAACTTCTCTTGTACAATGAAAACTCCAGTCAACAAGGCAAACAGGAGTCTGACAGCCAGAGGGTGAAATGGGGCCCTTTTCAAGTAGGCTCTGGGGT